CTGTGCCTTTGAGTAATGTACAGTTCAAGCGACTGCAACCAATCTGCTTTTCCCAGGATCCACATTTGGGGGAAATAGGCATAAAGCTCCCGGAAACTTTTTAGCAAACACTATCACACATGTCTGGGTTACTTTCCGTTTTATGAATGGATGCAATGGTAACCAAGATTGCCCTGCATTATAAAATAGGGCCCACCCAAATCCTCTAATTATTACTGGCATTAATCAAGGCACCTCAGCCAGTGCTTATTGGATTGCAGGACACGAGAAAAGAGGAGAAAAACTTCAACCAGGTCATCGTCAGGCAAGAGTTGAATCAAAATTGCCAGGCATGAGTGAGGGTTATATGTCCCACTTTATGACTCTGGCAAATGGATAAAGTCTAATGTTCATTTTTCTTGAACTAAAAGCCTCCCAGAGATGAGAGAGAGAGAGAGAGAGAGAGAGAGAGAGAGAGAGAGAGAGAGAGAGAGAGAGAGAGAGAGAAACAAAGAATCTTATTTGTTCTGGATCAACTAAGTCTTTCTGATCCTTTTACTCTATGACACACTAGTTGTCTAGGGACCTTCTGAATCAGAAGACAGCTTTCTTGGGTACCAATCATTAAGTCCTCTTCACATAAGCACTTCCTGGATACCAGATCCCTAGTCCTGCTTAGGGCTGGCTTCCTTTTGTTTACCCTGAGGTCACTTGGATGACAGAACCAAAGGATGACAGATGAGAATCCCATTCCCCACCCCTAATGAGGAACTGAGTTCCGTGGAGCCTGCCCCACAGACATCTCCAGCATTTGTCTCCTTTTCTCCAGGGCTATTACCCCAGCCACCAGCATTCACGCCATCTTCACTGTCATCTGAATGACTGCAATCTCTTCAAGTGGTTTCTCTGCCCCAAGCTTATACTCCTCTGTAACCCGGAATCCACAGCCAGCCAGAATGATTGTGTTCTAAACAAAATGCTCACTAAATCATTCCTTTACTTAAAACTCTCCAGTGGTTCCCTTTGTCCTAGGATGAATAATGAAAACAATAGCCAACAATAACTGGGAGCATAATCGGTGCCATTACGACATCACTTATCTCAATCAATTCTTGCAGCAACTCAATGAGGGTGGTACAACCTTCATTACCATTATATACTGAGGCCGAGTTACTTAACCAAGGTTCCACAGCTAGAAAGTGGGCAAGCCATGACTCAAATCTGGGTCTACATGACCATTGAGTGTATACTCTCACCACCATGCTAGCCATAAGATGGCATGCAGATTCTCTGTGACCTGCCCTGCCCACCACTTCAGTCTTATCTCTTAATAGCCCCTCTTTGTTCCTTATGCTTCAGCTCATTGAGCCACATGAATGTCCTGGACCTTATGCCTCTGTGGGTTTTGTTAGTTTGTTTGTTTTTGCATATTAAACCCTCTTCTATAATGCCCTCTCTCCTTTGTCTAGAATCAGTGGTTCTCAATGTTTCTAATGCCTTGACCCTTTAATACAGTTCCTCATGTTGTGACCTCCAACCATAAAATTATTTTCTTTTAAAAAAAAAATATATATTTTATTGATTTTTCACAGAGAGGAAGGGAGAGGGATAGAGAGTTAGAAACATCGATGAGAGAGAAACATCGGTCAGCTGCCTCCTGCACACCCCCCACTGGGGATGTGCTCCCAACCACAGTACATGCCCCTGACCGGAATCAAACCCAGGACCTCTATCCACTGAGCCAAACCGGTTTCGGCATATAAAATTATTTTCGTTGCTACTTTATAACTGTAATTTTGCTACTGTTATGAATTGTAATGTAAATATGTGTGTTTTCCGATGGTCTTAGGCTCTACAGGTTGAGAACCGCTAGCAGAGTTGCCTAAGAATATCAGAAAACACAGATATTTACATTATGATTCATAACAGTAGCAAAATTACAGTTATGAAATAGCAACAAAAATAATTTTATGATTGGGGGTCACCACAACATGAGGAGCTGTATTAAAGGGTTGCAGCATTAGAAAGGTTGAGAACCACTGGTCTAGATTGTGGAATGTCCTGTCTTTCAAGATTCAACTCAAATATTAACTCTTCCATGAAACTTTTTTGAACCCTTCCTTTCCTTGGTAGAATTGACCACTCCCCTCTCTGCTCATCACTGCACTCTTATAATAGCAACAGTACATTCCTAGCCTTACGTGGATGAGTATGAGTCCCATCTGTTAGACTTCTATGAATTCCTTAAATGCTGGGACCCTGTCTTACTAACCCATTTTATCCATAGTATCTAACTCAGTGCTGGACATTAGAAAATTTGCTGTAAACAGTGTTGGAAGAAATGAAAATATTTATTTGCACATAAAATACGTTGTTTGTCAGAGAACCCCACTGTGAGCTGTATATTACTTTTAATTACGGTATCAATGCAATTAGTTTTCCCCCCTTTACTTAAAAACTATATATGAAACTCTAAAAAGGTTTGAGCTGTTTCATGGCTGGGGAGAAGACATTGCAGTCTACCTTGCTGTTTTCACCTGGGAAAGAACCCAGAGATAACAATAAACTGTCGCTGTAAGGATAAAACTAATTTAAACATTTAATTTAAGAGCAAGAATAACAGCAATGGAAAACCAACTCATGACAGGACAAATGATGCTATGATAACAAAGCACCCTTTCCCCAAATTCCAAAAATGACAACTCTACGTGTGTATGCACATGCTGTATGGCAAACATATGGAAGACAGACTTCTTGATTCCAAGCAGCTAAATGCAATTACTAACTGATACATTATGATCCTATCTCAAAACCAGGTATATATTCCCAACATTCCCAGTTGCCCTTGAGTATCAGCTGAAGGGAATCCTCCTTGAGAAAGCCTTACTTGGTCATGCAGTGCAGTCCATGTACACACCCCTCTCTCCTTTAAAGAGTGTAGTTTAGTTTGCAATTACATTTTCAATAGTTGTTTTACTAACAGCTGTCTCCCCAAAAGCATCTGTAAGCTTCCGGAGATCAGGGATCCTGCCTGATTCCATTCACCCTTACCCTTTCTCCCCCAGTAACTGGCACAGAGCCAGGCACACTGTAAACATTTTGAATGAATGAATGTTGAGTGGTTCCTTCACCTCTTACTCATTTCCCTGTTTTCTTAATTATATTAATACTCAATTTCTTACCAAACTCAAGCTGATACTTCATCCATTCCTTTCCATTATTTCCTTGCATTAGCAAAAGGATAAGTCCTTATTTTATAATCTTTTCCCTCCCAACCCCCCAAATCCACAGGGCTTCTTAGATGTGGCAGCTTCTAACCAACCTGTATATTTCAACATGCTTTCCATGCAGCATGCAAAACTAAAGGAAAATGTAGCGACTGGAGGAGCTACTAGGTTTAAACACTCTACACAACTCCTAAAATACCTTATAATTCAGTAAAAAGAATTTGAACAACTTCTATTTTATCGTACAGATAAAAATGGGCTTGTTTGATATTTTTTTCTTCTTTTTTTTCCTACTCAATCTGTCTTGCCCTGCATAGAAAAAGCCTTGGGAAAAAGTTGATTGTGCTGATTGTTGGCAAGAAGGAAGCCACATACAGTATATGGTCTCTTACAAAATCATCTGGCGGCTGTTCCTGAATGACAGGGCCCAGGGCCCCAGATTCTTCTCCACTCAGGGGTCTTGGGCTGCACCTCCTTCCTCTACTGCCCACTCCACCCGCCCCCTTCACAAATATAAAACCTCCACCCTCTGAGTTCTTACGGAGGAAAAATCCCATGCAACTCTGCTGGTCCTAGAGGGGAAGAGGAGGGCAATGGAAAGATGTAACTGGCGGAGTTCCACTTTGTAAAATCAGAACCAGCGAGGTCTTAGTTTCTGGAATCTAGAACACTTTAGGAACTATCCTTTATTGACTCCCCTCACTACCGCCCCCCCCCCCCCCCCCCCCCCCCCCCCCCCCCCCCCCCCCCCCCGCTGAACTTGCACTGGGAAAGTCCAGTTTAAGGGAAAGAACAGGGAGTACAGAACTTCTCACGGACAATTCCCCAATGCTGCTTTCTTCAAATCGCTGGAGAGTTAAGGCAAATAAAGGAAATAGCCTTTGGGTAGTGGGCTCCCTACCCCAAGGGCAACTGCAGTGGAAGACTTGGAAGAAAGCAGGGGTAGTGCTGATGGACAACACGGGAGCTTAAGGTTTGCAGACAGTGGGGTGACGTCATTATCTTCTGGTATGTTCATTAGGCAGGAGGTGGGGTACAGAATCAACAGGAGGGGACAGAACAAGAAGGTTAGGAAAGAATATGGGTGAAAAAAAAAACAGGGAATTATAGATAAACACAAATGCTCGTATGGGCGTTATTCTAGATTCTAGAATCTAGAAGATAAAGTTGTATTTGATTTTTCAACACTATGTGCATGTGTTATCTATTGAAACTATAATTTTTAAAACAATTTTTAAAAGAAAATCATCTATCTGGTATATGTAAAAAAAAAAAAAATTTCACTCCCCAAGGAATATGGAGGCTGGTGATCAGGCCCAGAGGCTGGGACCTTAATTTGGTGCCACCCAGGCCAGGACCCTAAGGCAGCTGGAGGGTTGGGCTGAGATCCTCCAAGAGGGTTGATGGCCCACCAGGGTGGGTACAGATCCAAACACCCTAGAAAACTGTCTGTTCCCTTAACACACACGGAAAAGGCATTCTTTGCGACAACGCTACAGACAGAAGAAACAAGGCACAGGCATCAGACACCATCCACAGTCCCAGTCTTGGCTCGCCCTCAGGTTCCTCCGCGACGGCGCCCTTCCCACCACCCCTTTGGGGGTAAAATGAGCCGCTGGGTTCCGCAGGGAAGCTTTTGGTCTTGTCACTTGACTTCCCCAAGACCGGCACCCAGTGTTTCCAGGGCTGAGCTGCTCGGGGCCGGCGCCCTTCGTTTGGCCCCCCGGAGCCCGCAGCCCCCAGACCCGCCACTGCCCCTCCCGCACCGGGACGCGTGCTGCCCGCTCTCCTCACGCCCAGACCCGGACCCCTCACCTGGGACAGCGCCGGCCCGTCGGCTGTGGGTCCCCGCGAGGATGGGCTCTCGGCTTAGCTGAGACGGCGCGCGGGCCCCGCTCCTGATTCCTAGGTTCCGGTCCGGAGAGGCGCCCGCCCCCAGACCTGGCCACCGCAGTCCCCGCAGCCCCCGCAGGCCCTCTGGGCAGCCGCCGCGGCCCCGGCCTCCGAGCTCCGCCCCTCGCCCGCTCCCCGCCCGCCTGCCCCGCGGGGTCCTCGACTGCCGAGTCCAGCTCCCCTCGGAGCCCCTCGCGGAGGCTCTCTGACCCTGCACCCCGAGCAGCCCGGCTTCCCTCGCCGTCTGCCCCACCTGACCGCGCCGAGCGGACTCCGGGGAGCCCTGCGCCCAGGGCGCGTCTTCCCTCCCCCGTCGGGTCTGGTCCTCGGGGACGGCTGGCCCCGCACTCGGGTCCTCTCCGGTCCTCTGCCCGCAGTGCCACGACGGGAGTTCCCGGACTCGGGACCCTACCCCCGGGACCCCGAACCCGCGGTCCAAGACCCCCCCCCCCCCCACCAGGCGATGGAAAGAGGGGGCTTCGGGCCCCACCAATGTTCTCTGTGCCAGAAGTGGGGGGACATTTTTTTTCTCCCCTGATAGAAGGGCAGAGAGTCACAATAAAATAAATATAAACCCCGTGCCCAAACTCTTACTCATTCTGCGAGACCCAGGTCGAGAGCTGTCTGTGCTGGGAGACCTTCCTGGGACTCTCAACAGCTCCCTCCTTCCACTCCCCTGGCGAAGGGCGCGCGGTCCTCCCGTCCGGAGAGGCAGGGACCTGGAGCCGGGGTTGCCTCTACCAGCCCGGACCTGGCTCACCCCAATCCTCAGCCTCTGGCTCACCCAGTCCCCAGCCCCTGGCACAGCGCCGAACCTCCATCAGGCGCTCCAATATTTTATGAATAAGTGGAACATTAATTTCTTTTGTAGAAAACCAGATAATTCTTTTTCTCTCAAGTACCACACATTCCTTCCGGCAAGCAATTCGCTAGTCTCTATAAAGAGCCAAATCCTCTTTGATGTAGTCATTCCATTCTTGGGGAAATTTCCAGCACAAAATAAAGCTGTGTGGGGTGTTCCTATCAGGATCATTTATTACAGAAATAATAATTTAAAAAACCGCAAAGAGCAAACAAACAAAGCTAAACTGTCAACAAAAGGAAATTGGTTAAATAAATTAAGGTAGGGTAACTTAGGGTTATTATACAACCGTTAAAATGCTAAACATTAAGGCAAAGCGTGTCTCAAAACGTTTTTTAGAGAGCCCTTGTTGGTTTGGCTCAGTAGATAGAGCGTAGGCCCTAGGACTGAAGGGTCCCAGGTTCGATCCCTGTCAAGGGCAGGCTCAATCTGGCCTGGAGGTGGGGGAGTGTGGAGAGGACGGGGTGTGCGGAGACAACCAATCAATGTATCGCTCACATCAATGTTTCTCTGTCTCTCCCTCTCCCTTCCACTCTAAAAAGGTAAAAAAAAATATCCTTGGATGAGGATTAATAACAACAAAATAATGTTTTTAGAATAAGGAGAAGACATTTATTTATAAAGGGGAAAAACAGAAAAATATTAAGCAATATGATAAAGCAGATAAAGTGTTTATGAAATAATATTAAGCCAAAATAGTAAAAAAAAAAAAAAATTGCATAATTACCATGCTTAACAACTTAAAATAAAACTTCAGATTTCTGCTCTGTAAAACGAGGATTGTGCCTATTTCAAGGGGATCCGGGATTATTAAATGAGATGTTAGAGGAAAGTGCCTGAAACATAGTGGATACTCATCAAAAAGTTTCCATTTTCTTATTTCAAAGGAATGCAGACCCACATCTAGAGTCTCAAATACATTCTCATCATAGCCCCGCCCTGTCCATTTGACTTCTTTTCCGTCAAATGCAGGGTAGCAGGAGTTGAACAAAGGTTCAAGCGCCACATTAAAGTGAAGGGGAGAACCTAGGTAATAGGAATAAGTGCCAAGCCCTCCCTTGGGCCCAAATGCTTAGCAATCCAAGTTTACAATGGGGGATTTGGTTGTCAGGCAGAACATGCCAATATAACCCAGCCATTTTAGTTGGCTGCAAGCACAGCCTGGTCAGTGTCCAAAGGCTGAATTAATTTAGCCCCAAAGCTGAATGATGCTGGCGTCTTGGGCTGAATTTATATTCTTCAATATTCAGCATAATGTTCAAATGTCTTTAGGAAAGCAGCACTCTGAAGAGCTAATTCTACTCCCATCTTAAAGATGGAGAGACTGAAGTTTACAGTGGGTAAGGTGTATAGGATCGAGCAGCCAGGAGGTAGAAGAACCGTTACCTCAATCTGATCAGTTTGACCACCACCACAGTGCTTGACTCCTTCCCCAGGGGGTCCCAGTGTGTACACCTCCCACTAGACGTCTAGGAGGTGCTTTTGAGTGGCACACAGACAGTGAGGTTAAATAAGAGACCACACGGTGCAAACAGTATGCCCCTTTCCGTTCTCCTGAGCCTGTGACAAGGAAGAAGAGTCATTTCATGGTGCTTTGTCTCTACACCTCTCACCATCTGCTAATCTCTGTTTTAACAGAGAGGGGTTGCCTCAGGCTCAGCACCTTTGCTAGGCAACACTTTCTAAGTAGAATTTAATATCATCACTTTCTCTTCCTTCTGATATTATTCCTTATGCTGTCAGGCTCCAATTGATAGAGGTTTTCCACTTATAAAGTGATGTACTTTGCATTTAAGGTAAAATTACCCACCTATAAAAATTGGGCCATTTGAAAGAAAGATATTAAAAACCAATAGGACCAGTGATACTTGGGTAGGATAAAAATGGCAAAATAATGGAGGTGGTACACAAATGCATGGCTTTTGTTACACACGCCATTATGACCAGTGGATGGAAGGTACCTGAGGCAGGTTTTAATTAGAAATGAAAGAACTTTCTGACAATCAGAGCTGAATAGGAAGATGTGTTGAGGGTGTTAACCACATTTTCTTCACTCCAGGTTTGACTTAGAGGTTAGAAGCCTGCTTGTCACTAATGATGCCATGGGGAGGGGGGGGGGGGGGCGTCAAACACCAGATAGGCTAGAAGCTTTAATGTTCCTGCCAGCCAGGAGAATCTGAAGTTCTTGACAGCTGAGCTTCCCAGGGACCTGACCACTGGAGGGACTGGATTTTGGAGTAAGTTACATTAGCTCTCTTCAAGGAAAAAACCCCAAAGAAGAGTTCCAAAGGAGCTTTGAGCAATGGCAACGCCACTATGACAACTGAATAGTTTATGGAGCACTAGATTACCCCCAAGGTTCTTGTTTTGAAAGAGACAACATTTGGGGGGATTTGAAGATGTTAGGGTATTTGCTTACAATTCAATCATTTACCAGACACGGTCGGACCTGCATTACCACCATTTGTCCACCAACCAGATCTGAAATATCATGGCTGACATGTACACATAAGGAACTGTTTGACATTGAAACTGGGACACAAAAGAATTGTTGGCCCAGAAAGGAACTCACTACAGACTGATTCATTTGCCTCTCAGCATAACCATTATGGTTTGTCTCAGTTTCGGTTCTTACAAGGGTATTTCTTTGATTACATGATCTCACACATCTAGAGGAAATAATGAACAACATAGACTGATGAACAAAAACAGACCCAGAGAAAGAGAAGCAGCGACCAGACTTTCAAATCTCAGAGGGAAAGTGGGGAAGGTGGGGGTAAGGGGAAGAGATCAACCAAAGGACTTGTGTGCATGCATATGGGCCTAGCCGGTGGCCATGGGTGGTAGGGGCATATGTGGGGAGGGGTTTGGGATGGGAATGGGGGGATGAGGACAATTATGTGATATCATAATCAATAAAATAAAATTTAAAAAATAATAAAGTTATTATTGATAAAAAAAATCATTTACAATTACACCATCTTTTGGTGTAGACTCTATTCATAACCATCCCCAAAGGCCAAAAGGATGGGGCTGCTCCCCCTTCCTTCCACATATTAGCATTTCCCACTCTCAGGTTTCTTTGTGTGGTACCTGCTTATCCTAAAGCAGCTGTCCCTGCTGTTCCTTTTAACCCATTTTGATCAGTATAAAAATGTATGTGTGTGAGGAAAAGGTACACAGCAGTCAAAAAATTACTTTGGTGTTTACTTTGCAAGCATTTAGCTTAAAAATTTATGAAGTACAGAACCATATTCCTACTGCCTTAAAGAATTGGCACGTGAGATATCTGAGAGGTCACCTGGGCCCTTTGGCTCTATGGGTAGAAATGTTCTAAGGAACTTACTTGGCAGGTAAGCTAAAGAGAGAAGAGCCCTCTGAAGGTCTAACTGCCTCCATTTGAATAACTGCATCTGGAGACAGCTCATTCGATGTCAGACAGCTTTTTGGAGTTAGCAAGTTCTTTCCTGAGCGCCCTTGATGACTCTCTTTGTCTCACACTCCATATACAATCCATTTGCAACTCTTTTTTTTTTAATTTAATAAATCTTTATTGTTCAGATTATACAATTGTTCCTCTCCCCCCTCCCATAGCTCCTCTCCATCCGGTTCTCACTCCACCCTCTGCCCTTACCCTCCTCTTCCCTGCCCTCCTCCCCACACTGTCCTCATCCATAGGTGTAGGATTTTTGTCCAGTCTTTTCCCATACCCCTCAAAGCCCTTTCCCCTTCAGAATTATCAATCCTCTACCATTCTATGTGCCTGATACTATTATATTCACCAGTTTATTCTGTTTCTCAGATTTTTAATTCATTTGATTTTTAGATTCACTTGTTGATAGATATGTATTTGTTGTTCATAATTTTTATTTTTACTCTTTTCTTCTTCCTCTTCTTAAAGAATACCTCTCAGCATTTCATATATTATTGGTTTAGTGGTGATGAACTCCTTTAGCTTTTTTTTGTCTGTGAACCTCTTTATCTGACCTTCAATTCTGAATGATAACTTTGCTGGGTAGAATAATCTTGATTGAAGGTTTTTGCTATTCATCACTTTGACTATTTCTTGCCATTCCCGTCTGGTCTGCATAGTTTCTGTTGAGAAATAAGCTGACAATTTATGGGTGCTTTCTTGTAGGTAATTAACTATTTTTCTCTTGCTGTTTTTAACATTCTCTCTTTGTCTTTTGTCCTTGGTATTTTAATTATGATGTGTCTTGGAGTGGTCCTCTTTGGATTTCTTTTGTTTGGGGTACTGCACGCTTCCTGGACTTGTAAGTCTATTTCTTTCACCAGGTGGGGACATGTTTGGTCATTATTTCTTCAAATAGGTTTTCAGTATCTTGCTCTCTCTCTTCTTCTGGCACCCCCATAATTATGATGTTGGTATGCTTGAAGTTGTCCCAGAGGCTTCTTACACTATCTTCAACTTTTTGGAATCTTTTTTCTGTTTGCTTTTCCGG